GGTCGATTTCGGCCCCGGCCGGGGAGCAGGCCGGGGAGGGGAGGGGAGGTCGTATGTCTATAGAGATGGATTTGCTGTGTGATATGAAGAAAATATAAAAAAAAGAGGAAAAGAGAAGAAAAAAACAGGCCACGCAGGAGGCAATGATGAGATAATGTTCTCCCGTGCCCTTCTCACCTTTAACGACATGCCGTTACACAACACGGTAAATATGTTCCCCCGCGCCGCACATGCCCCTATACATCACACACAAGAAATAAGTCTATGACGAACATAATTCACACCCCGAGACGCGCGTGCTCTGCAACCACGTAAGGGTGCCATAATAGAACACCCGACAAACCGAGTTCCCCTAAATCTTCCGCCTACAACTTTCCAACATAACATACAGATAGATACACAAGATGGCTACCAAACTGCCTTGTTGAGCCTGTTACCCACAGGGGAGATACCGTTGTATGCTGTCTGGGAAACCGTAGACATACATATAGCTTGTCGCTCACGCTATGGATTCATTGCTGATCTATCTTAGACTTCTTTCTATCGATAGAGATGGATTTGTTGTGTGATATTAAGAAAATAAATAAAGAACAGCATGGAACGAGAAAATGAAATAAAAAGAGCGAGGACCAAAAGGGACCAGGCCCAAAATAACAAGAAACAAGAGACAGAAAAAGGCACACGGTGGAGAGATCACTAACGACAAGCAAACACGCAAACATGGCCACCAACCAGCGATACATTGTAATGGTACGTCATCACTACGGTCTGTCGAAGAGCTCCCGGCCATATCGCCTGAGGCACGCCCACGCTCCTCTGCTCCTGTAGTTGATCTCCCGGGTGAGATCGCCATGTTCGTTGACGAGACCACCAAGGTACCGAGGTCGTCTGGGCGTATTTCTGTCCCGCAGCTTCGATGGTTAGCGGTGGAGGCGGGGTGGGCTGTGATGTTGTAGTCGGCTTGTCCTTTGCGCGCATCAGGAGCGTCTCCGTCTTCTCCTACACCGTCAGCCCGACCTCCCCGAACACCTCAACGATGATGGTCATCATTCTGCTCAGTCCTTCTGCAGACCTCGATGCGATGCCGGCATCATCGGCATCCAGCATCCCCCA